ATCGCTTGAACCCTGGAAGTGGAGGTTGCAGTGAGCTGAGATCACACCACTGCACTCCAGCCTGGGCGACAGAGCAAGATTCCGTTAAAAAAAAAAAGAAAAAATCTCTGGTCTGTCATTAGTTCATTTACAAAGAGGATATTGCCTGGCAGAAGGAATTCTCATAAGTGGAATAGTTTAACATGAAATTTCATTTTGAAGATTACGTCCCTACTGTAAAGCATCAGAGCCTGCATCAGCCAGCTAGCCTTCAGCCAGGGCAAAGTAGGCAGGTGTGCCATCTCGGTGCGGTAGTGCCGAAGCCACACCTAGGGCACCCCGAGCCTCTGTATGGGACAGCAACTTCAGATATAAAAAGAGCCAATAGGCCGGGCGCAGTGGTTCACGCCTGTAATCCCAACACTTTGGGAAGCCAAGGCAGGCAGATCACCTGAGGTCAGGAGTTCAAGACCAGCCTGGCCAACATGGTGAAACCTCGTCTCTACTAAAAATACAAAAATGAGCTGGGCGTGATGGTGGATGCCTGTAGTCCCATCTACTCGGGAGGCTAAGGCAGGAAAATTGCTTGAACCCGGGAGGTGGAAGTTGCAGTGAGCCGAGATCGCACCACTGCATTCCAGCCTGGGCGACAGAGTGAGACTCCGTCTCAAAAACAAACAAACAAACAAACAAAAAAGCCAATAAGCAGATTAAAAGAAGCTCAATAGCTCAATATCATTAGTCATTAGAATAATGCAAATCAAAACAATAATGAGACACCACTTCATACCTACCAGGATGGATTTGATAAAAACAAAAACCTGGAAAATAAGTGTTGGCAAGGATGTGAAGAAATTGTAAACCTCCTGTACTGCTGGTGGGAACGTAAAATGGTACACTGCTGTGGAAAACAATGTAGTAGTTCCTCAGAAAGTTCAACATAGAATTTCCATATGATTCGGCCCTTTTGCTCCTAGGTATATGCTCAAAAGATTGAAAAACAGGTATTCAAACAAAACTTGTACATGAATGCTCATAGCAGCACTACTCACAATCATCAAAAGGTGAAAACAGCACAAATGCCCATCAATTGATGGATCTATAACCAAAATGTGATACAGCTTATACAGTGGATTTTTATTCAGACATAAAAAGGAGTGAAGTGCTGACACATGCTACAATATGAATGAACCTCAAAAACACTATGCTAAGTGAAAGAAACCAGACATAATTGGACACATATTGTATGATTCCACTTACATGAAATATCCAGAATAGGAAAATCCATAGAGCTAGTACATTACTGGTTACCAGGGCCCACAGAGAGGGAGAGAATGAGGAATGACTGGTATTGGTTACAGGCTTCCTTTATAGGGTGTTGAAAACTTTCTGAAATTAGATAATTGTGATGGTTGTACAGCACTGTGACTATACTAGAAATCACTGAATAGCACACTTAATTTTAAAAATCATAGTAGTTACCATTCCACAGCATGTTCTCTCTACAAAGCATCATTCTAAGAAGCTAGCTCAAATCCAAGGTCCATTACTTACAAGCTGCATGCCTTTAGGTAAATTAACCTCTCTGCGACTCAAGAACATCATTTGTAAAATTCGGATAAGAGTATTTACCTCCATAAGGTTATGAGGGTTAAATGTGTTAATATTTAATCTTACTTTGAACAGCGCTTTGTACATATTAACAGTATATATGGACTAGTAAGAATTAGCTAAGTGTTAGCTATTATCATTTCAATTAATCTTCACAACAATTCCATGACCCTAGGTGCTTTCCATTATTCCCATTTTACAGATGAGAAAACTAAGGCACAAGGAGATTATGCAACCCACCAAGTTACTTATTTAGCAAACAGCAAGCAAAGCCAGCAGTCTGGCTTCAGGGTCCCTGCTTCTCAACTATTGCTGTGCTTGACATAAATCTGGTATATGTAAATCTGGCGTTCATAAATCTTGAATTCATAGCTATTTTTGCCTAGGATGAGATTTAATTAGGTATTTAAGGTTTTCAAAAAGTAAATCAATTTAAGTAAGCGTGTTAAGTAAATATCGTCCTCTCTGGTACCCAGATACGACAAAACTTGCAAAGGGACACTTGAATGACTGAGGTTTAGAAAACATTGGTAAACCATGGAAATCTAAGATGTGACAGAACACACCCATACTGTTACCAATTATACTAGGTAGGCTACTGCACACCTTGATTAAACCCTGTACGGATTTCTTGTGTGATCTAACAGCCCAGGCAAAAATTGTTCGCCAGGTATGGAGCCCAAAGAGAAGAAGGCCTGCAGACTCAGCAGGAGCCAGCCTTAGGAGGAAATGTCTTGCTTAAAATCAGAAAGGCTGTGGGGTTGTAACCCTTGAAATCTTTTTGTGATTTGAATATGAATATTCAAAGTGAATATGAGGCAGGAGGACTTATTAATTAGACACTGTAGTCGAAGTGCCTAGGCCCATCGCACTTTTAGGGGACTGTGAAAATGTCTTAACTGACTGGGCGCGGTGGCTCACGCCTGTAATCCCAGCACTTTGGGAGGCCAAGGAGGCAGGACCGCTTGAGCCCAGGCGTTAGAGACCAGCCTGAACTACATAGAGAGCTCGTCTCTACTAAAAACAACAACAAAAAAATTTGCCGAGAGCAGTGTCCCGCGTGCCTGTAGTACAAGCTATTTGGGAGGATCGCTTGAGCGGGGGAGATAAAAGCTGCCCTGAGCCCTGAGGGCATCATTGCACTCCAGCCTGGGCGACAGACCGAGACTCTGTCTCAGGAAAAGAAAAGAAAAGAAAAGATCTTAATTTCTTTTAAAATCATAAGAAAAAATTAATATAATCCATCCCAAATTATATTCATCCTTATACCAACACAGCTGTAAAATATAATTTTTTTCTTAATGGAGGAAGGGGCCCAGGAAGGCAAAAATGCCTAGGACCCACGAAAGTCATAATGTGGCCCCGACATGAGGGTGAGAGTGAGGGTGAGCCTCATTACCTCTCCCTCCTGACCAGGTCTTCCAGACACCAGCTCAGCAACTAATGCATGCAGTATCCTGTCTTGTTAATATCCTCTCCGTATTGAGCAAACGTGAAGTGGTGGGCTGGGGGAACCCAGAAGTGCTGGATCCCAACCCTGTGGTTTAGGGACATCCAGCCGAGGCCCTGGAGCAAGGGGAAGAGGCCTGAACTAGTGTGCAAAAGAAGAAGACCCCTCACACCCAGGAATTGTAAAGGTTATGTCTCCCCCAAAAGCCACCTCCTCCTACTCTTACCTGAAATCCCACTATTATTTACTCGTTTGAATTAAGACAGCCATAATATAGTGAAAAGTGCACACATTTTGTAGTTAAAACTGGCATGTATTGCCAATGGCAAGTTGCCTGGCTCTTTGGGGCCCAGTCTTCTGTATTTTTTTAAAAAATGGGGGATGATAATGGTGGTTATCAAGGTGAAAGTAAGATAAATCATGTACAGTGCCAAGCATAGGGCCCATTATTAGCAGGCTTTTAAAAAATTTTTTTTTAATTATTTTTATTTTTTGAGACAGGGTCTACTGTCGTCCAGGCTGGAGTGCAGTATCCCGATCATGGCTCACTGCAGCCTTGACGTCCCGGGCTCAAGCGATCCTTCCACCTCAGCCTCCCTAGTAACTGAGTCTACAGAGCTATTTTTATAATATTACGGATATTAACACGTCCTGGGAAACCTGCAAACACTTATTGGAGGGAGAACCATATAGCCTTCAATCATAGCCCGGCCTTTTAAATGTGATACATCACTGGGGAGCAAGAACTCAGGAAGACAGTTCCAGAAAAGCGGAGGGGGGAGGAGGAAGAACGGGTAGTGGGGAAGGCGGGAACTCTCCCAGGTCCACAGCACAAGCCCGGGGAATACGCGCGCTTTAGGAGCCTGCAGAACGGGCTTCTGCAAAGTGCGCTGCAATAAGCAGCACAGCAACCTAGCACAGCAGACGTTGCAAGTACCGCGCATCAAAAGACGGGGCCCCTGTAGTGTAAGCATTCTTGGATGCACTACGCACTTAGCAGATTTCTATACTTGCACTCTGACATAAGTTCATTACTGAAAATCTTAAGTCTTTGGAGCTTTCTCAAAAAGCACGTTGGGTTTCTTGCAGCGTGCACCTGAGCAGCGGACTGCTCTTCGAACTCAGCCCCAAATTCCCGCTCCCGGAATGCACGGTGGGTTCTGAATTCAAAAATCCAGAGCAAGCAGCCTTCTAGCCAATCATTGCACCTTATCACTATCCTGACTTTGGCGCGAACTGTACAGAACTAGATAGTCCTATCCATTTGTCACCAATTTCTAGTAGGGGAGAGTCGTTCTCAGAACCCAACTGCATGGTAGACTAACAAGTTCACTTTTGCATGTTTGGGCTGCTGAACGCTCCGAGCTTTCTTCAACGCCATCTCTGGGTCTTTTCCGTGGGGGAAGCAAAGGGCATTGCTCCACCCAAGTGCTACGAGGTAAAGAGGGTTGGGCGGAGGAACACTGCCAAAATACCTCTCCACAAGCTAGTGTGAGGTGTCAACCCACCCCCTCGCCCCCAAATCGGCTTTCACAACCCAGTCGCTTTTTCCAATCCCGGTCTCCGCTCAAGTTGGAAGTAGTTAGTTAAGCAGCAACTTGGAGCTACTGTTCACCGCACAGCATGCTCACTACCTGCACCATGCTTGCGCACGCTCGCCCTATTTTTTGTACGCCCTGGACACGAATGCGTCCCCACGGGGTCGCACTCACAACTAGATGTACTGTGAATGCTAATAGGGGGCGTTTAACCGACGCGTGTGCGTACGCTTTGAACCTGCGGAAGGCACCGTACCGCTATATAGGGCGCGCAAGTGCCAGACGGCGCCAGAAAGAGGTCCCGGCGCCAGAAAAGCGCTCGCCCGAGCCATTGGTCCCAGAGCCAGTTCCAACCCCGGGATCGTCGCGGAGCCCGCGCAGAGTCTGCAGAAGTGCACGGCTTTATCGACAGCACTTGAAGCATGGAGTCTCTTCGCGAGTACACCAACAGTGATACCGGCTACCGCAGCCTGGCAGTCGGCGAGGACATAGAGGAAGTGAATGGTTAGTGCTTGGACAGGGACAGGAGCTTTCGCGAACTCCAAAAGAGGAATTTTTCCCTGGGAGAGGCGAGCAGACGGGACGCTGCGCGGCTGTCGCAGTTGCTCTTCCATAGCGGGTCCCCTGCCTCCTCCAGCCCTCGCGCCGTGGGCTCCAACGCCCTGGGGTCTCTCTTTTGCTTTCCTCCCTTCCCAGATGAGAAACTTACCGTGACCTCGCTGACGGCAAGGGGAGGAGAGGACGAGGAGAATGCACGGTCCGAACCTGAGTACGGAGCAGAAGCCGAAAACGTTGGCACGATGGGGTTCGTCCCCTCGGACGACCAAGACCGTGAGGGTGGCGGTGGCCACGAGCCGGAGCAACAGCAGGAGGAGCCGCCCCTGCCCGAGCCGGAGCAACAGCAGGAGGAGCCGCCCCTGCTTGAGCCGAAGCAAGAGCAGGAGGAGCCGCCCCAGGCAACCGGGGAAGGGCCACAGCCGGCGGAGGGGCCACAAACCGCTGAGGGGCCACAGCCCCCAGAGAGGAAACGCCGCCGCCGCACCGCATTCACCCAGTTTCAGCTGCAGGAGCTGGAGAACTTTTTCGATGAAGCTCAATACCCCGACGTTGTGGCGCGGTAAGTGGCTTGCCCCGGAGGCGCCCAGTTCATCCCGAGACCCTTTCACTCTCCTCCCGAGCCAAAAGCCACGTACCGGGCTCACGGGCGCTGGCTCCGCCCTTGCTTTTTGAGGGATGTGGGGGGCTGGGCGCGGAGGATGTAAAAGACTGGGGCGGGACTAGGGTAAAGCGAGTGAGGCAGGGTCCGATCCCGCCTTTATTTAAAATTTTGGCAATTTGCTCATCATGGGTTGTTTTTGCATTAATTTTGATACGTTTTAATATTGCATTAAAATAGTATCTGTCTTGATTATTGGGTTTTTAAGCGCCATTTACCTTGTGCGCGCGTGGCGAGCGCCTCACTCTTTTCGCTCTAGTAACCGCCCTGCCACGTGGAGCGCACTTTTACAACCAGGAGGCGGACTTTTGAGCTTTCGGTAGCCAGAGACCCCTTTCCTTCGCTAGCCTCTTCGGAGCCCTCCTCGTACCGGCCCCCGTAGTGTACGAAGGGGCAGGCCTTTTCTGGCCAGGCTGGAATTGGGGGCGGGGGTCACCTGGACAGGTCAGAGTAGGGTTCAGGGGACCTTTCTGGCTTCGTTGTACTTAGCCTTCGCCCGGCAAAGAGCAAGAAAGAATTTCCCGAGGGCGTGCTTGGCCGATGTGGTTTGGAGTTCACTCCCTGAGAGTTCACCTCTCCCTTTTACAATAAACAGAAATACTGTGGTTCAATACAGCGCTTTAAAGGTGTTTTGGCATTTCATTTTTTTTTTTTTTTCACGGACGGACTTCCCAAGGAAAGATTTCCAGGGTTGTTGTCTGCTGTTTCACAAACAGAAGAATTGAGTCATATTCAGCTAACAAACCATCGGGCTCTTTTACATATATTCCCTTTTTCTATCTTATTTAACAGCAAAGTCGTTCATGGGAAAAACCTCCCTAAAGCAAGTCCCAACCGTATTTGGGAGGTGGGGAAAAACTGCACTGGGAGGTGGGGGATAGAAATAATGTACATTCATATATACACACACACACACACACATATATATATATATATATATATATTTTTTTTTTTTTTTTGAGACGGAGTCTCACTCTGTGGCCCAGGCTGGAGAGCAGTGGCGCGATCTCTCCTTGCTGCAACCTCCGCCTCCCAGGTTCAAATGATTCTCCTGCCTCAGCCTCCCGAGTAGCTGAGATTAAAGGCATGCACTACCATGCCTGGCTAATTTTTGTATTTTTAGTAGAGACAGGGTTTCACCATGCTGGCAAGGCTGGTCTCGAACTCCTGACCTCAGCACCGTCTTCGGCCTCCCAAAGTGCTGGGATTACTGGCGTGAGCCACTGCACCCAGCCACATTGATATTTCATTTTATCCACAACTCCAAGTACTGAATATTTGTAATTTTCTTCCCTAAGAGAAAGACTTGCAGCACGCCTGAATTTGACTGAAGACAGAGTGCAGGTCAGTAAATCTTGAAAAAGCAATTTGGCAGGACAGCCATTCTAAAGCATGCTTTAGGTTTTGTCCTGGACATTCTCAAGTTTGTGTTTTTTGTTGTCTTTTCCATCGTTGGCAAATAAGTTTTGAACAGTAGGGGCTTTGGTGGTAGAAAATAGGATATGTAAACTTCAGATTATGGAAATTGCTCGTTAACAGAGGAAATATGATTTTCTAAAGAAAAAAAATGACTGTTCTCCTATCTCTATCTGTATCTGTCTTTCCTTCCATATAGTGTATGCACATGTGTATGTACATATATACATTTACATACACATATATGCACATGTATACACATACATACATACATACATATATTTCAATAAATAAGATTAACCTTCTTCTAACACTGGTATTCTCTAGGGAGAATGTTAGTTTTCCCTAAAGGATTACTTCTATATGGAGTCATGTTCGGGGCTCAATCTGACCTCGGAAGTAGTCAAATTAATGCACAGAAGAACTGAGTTTTATAAGAAGGTTCAACTGTACTAAATTATTTAAAATATTTAAAACCAAGCACAAGCACTTAGCTAAATGAGTGAATTTATATTTAGGCATTGGGATGAAGGAGTAATTCACACACAGAACACAGTACTTAAGTAGAGAGTGGCGGACCTAAGTTTTAATTTTTTTGGAAGATTTTGATGTCAGCCTGAAAACATTGCTAACGTATTGCAATTAAGTGGTAATGGGGGAAACATTCGTAAGCTTTGGAAAACTGTCTTTAAAAAATGAAACAAAGAAAAAGAAAGAAGAATTTGAATAAAGTCCCCTTACCTAAGAAGGATGGAAAGCTTAGAGAAGAATTGTATACAGTCAAACACATGCATTGCAGATGTCACACAAATTCAACTTTATGAAACTACCAAATGCATAAGAGATTGTTCACTTTTTGTAAACACCTTAGAAAAAACATCTTAGATGTTTTATTCTTTTTGGTGGTGGTATTTTGAAAAGGTGGGTTTTCTGGAATTTGATTGATTAGGGGGGTCTCTCGATTCAGGCAAGATTCTTACCTGTGTTGATTTAAAATACCTTTTCATTTACTCAGGCAGTAACGACTAATTTTGCAGGTCACGAGATCAAAAGTTGACTGTTTAAAATTACAGAAGACCATAGCTGCATCAAGGAAGTATTTGCAAATAAAAAATAAAAAAATGTTAGAATGGGCTTATTAGCTTTGCCTCAGGGTGTGTGTGTGAGTGCAGTGATGGAAATGCACTGCATGCCTGTGGGTGTGATGTCTGGAAAAGCAGTCCAACAAAGCAGACCACTGAATGCTGGAGTCCTGATGTGCCACAGGCCTAGCCTCAGGTTGGGATGACGTATCCTCTGCCTTCTCAGGGAAGCAAGGTAAACTCAGAGGAAAAGAAAAAAGGTTCGCTGACCTGCTTTTTTTCCCTCCCAGGGTTTACATAGGCCTCTCAATGGATTTCTGAAGGAAGAAAGAGCCAGAAAATACAAAGAAGGAAAAAAGACAATATTCTCATCTATTTCCAAATTCTACAGCATGAATTTCCCTAAAGACACTTTTAATAGACACTCCCCTCCTTTTCTTTGCAAATATAGTATCCTTATTTTATGAAATCAGTATTGAGAATACAGACCCAATATGGGCCCATACCAAAATTTGCCGTCTGTTGGCTTCGGTTATGTTTAAGCAGGGGTGACCACTAGCACATCTGAGCCCGCCCCTCCCTCAGTCCTCTAAGATATTTCATCAATAAGAAAATAGCTTCACCTGTTGCAGTTTAAAGTCTCAATGGCATATAGAATTGCATGTCATGTTTTTTTCTATTATGACGTTAGCTGTTCAAAATACTAAACCAATTCATTTTTCCCCTCTGAAGGTTTGGTTTCAGAACAGAAGAGCCAAGTGGAAACGAAATCAGAGGGTGCTCATGTTGAGAAACATTGCTGCCGCCGCCCTGGCCCGCCCTACGGAGGTGTTCTTGGGTGGCCCCTATAATGCCACTCCTTCTCTGGATCCTGCTTTGTGTGTTCATCTGGTGCCACAACTACCAAGACCACCTGTGCCACCTATGCCACCCAGGCCACCCATGGTCCCTATGCAACCCAGGCCACCCATGGCACCTATGCCACCCGGGCCACCCAGGCCACCCATGGCACCTGTGCCACCCAGGCCACCCATGGTCCCTATGCAACCCAGGCCACCCATGGTGCGTATGCCACCCAGGCCACCCATGGCACCTGTGCCACCCGGGCCACCCATGGTGCCTATGCCACCCATGGCACCTGTGCCACCCAGGCCACCTATGGCACCTATGCCACCTGTGCCTCGTATTGGCCTGGCTCCTGTACGCATCACATGGGCCCCTGTCATCAATAGTTATTATGCAGGTCCCTTTTTCTAAAGTAAGGTCTTCATGACAGTTTTTCCAAAGTTCTTTCCTGCCAGATAGAAATTGTGCACAGCACAGCATCAAGTAATACGTTAGATACTTGTTAAATGAGATGGATAGATGAACAAAGTTGACGAATGCCCTGTTATTTTTGTAGGTCACATGATGGTAGTATTTTCAATAAAGATGTGACTTAATAGTACGTTGGTTTTGGATGCCATTTGGGGTCAGTAGAATACGGATGGGAATTGCTAAGGGAATGCAATTTGAGTAGAATGGTGAAGAGGCCTCTTCTCATCAGGTAATATCCCTGAGTCACCATCAGTATGTCCTGCACATCACAGAGCTTGCCAAGTGCCCGTGATGGATTTACATTGACCCATACATTTTCCTTCCACATGTCCCCCTATCCCATCCTCAACCCTCCACCCTGCCCCACTGGGAACATATAAATGTGCGGGATGGGAAGGGGTGAGTCTAGTGAGACAACAGTGCGTTTCCAGGGAGGGCCACGTTCCATTCATGCTAAGGAGCTCAGGCTAAATCATGGACTCTGAGAGAAACTTACTAAGGGGCTACTCACAGAGCCTTGAGGGAACGGGACAGCTAAATTTGCATCTAGTACTCTCCAAATTCTGCTCCCTGCCCTTATTATTATTATTATTATTATTTTGACAGGTCTCTCTCTGTCACCCAGACTGGAGTACAGTTACATGATCATAACTCATTGCACCCTCGAACTCCTAGACTCAAGGGATCCTCCTGCCTCAGCCTCCTGAGTAGCTGGGACTACAGGTGCACCACCAAGCCTGGCTAGTTTCTGTTGTATATTTTGTAGAGATAGGGGTCTCACTGCAGTGCCGAGGGTGATCTCAAACTCCTGTTCTCGAGCGATCCTCCTGCCTCCAGCCTCCCAAAGTGCTGGGATTACAGGTGTGAGCCACTACACGCAGCCTGCCCTCCACTTTGTGGAGGAGATAGAGGAATAGGAACTATTCTGGTCCAGAGGTTCTGCAACTTCAAGGGAGACACAAGAAGGGGCTCCATCAAGACCAGAAAGAGGTGCTCTCTCTTTTCTTCACCACTAGGCCAGGAGAACCTATTACTGTAGCTTCCCCAGCTAAGAAGTGGGCAGTTACACCTTCCAGTGTATTTTTCACCTTCAACATCTTTGAGAGAATCCTGGTTCCTGCCAATTAAATTGAAAGGGAAACTTTTGGTTTAATGCTGCTCAAAGTAAGAGATGGTCTGTGAGCAATGTTCCAGAATAATCACTCATTGAAAAGCGGTCAGACCTTTGCTATGCCTGCAATCTTTACGCAAATCTGCTTCAGTAGGAAGCAATAAAAACCAAAATGGAGGAGGGGGAGGAAGGCAAGTCCACTATTTTTTAAACATTGAACTTTTTCTTAGAGCCTTTACTTTTGAGCAATTTCTAGCCATTTGCAGTAATTTTATGAACACATTTTATGCTATGAAATGATTGCAATGGCTTCAGATAAGGGTGTCATAGTTATACCAGAATTTCTTCTCGCAGGAGGTGGGCTGGAGGGAGTTATCAAAGACAAGTTTCACAGCAGTTACATACTCCCAGTTTGAAGGGCGGCTCTGTTTTCTCAGAAAAGCATACTATTTTTTTTTTTTTTTTTTTTTTTTTTTCTGTTTTTTCTTTTTTTTTTTTGTTTATATATTTTCCTTTTTTTTTTTTTTTTTTGAGACAGAGTTTCGCTGTTGTTGCCCAGGCTGGAGTGCAGTGGAGAGACCTGGGCTCACTGCAATCTTCGCCTCCCAGGCTCAAGTGAGTCTCCTGCCTCATCCTCCCAAATAGCTGGGACTACAGGCGCCTGCCACCATGCCCGGCTAATTTTTTGTATTGTTAGTGTAGACAGGCTTTGACCATGTTGGCCAGGCTGGTCTCAAACTCCTGACCTCAGGTGATCCACCCCCGCCTCGGCCTCCCAAAGTGTTTGATTACAGGCGTGAGCCACCACACCCGGCCTGCCTGATACTTTTTATTCCTTTCTTCTCTCCCTTCACACATAAGGATGTCAAGCATTAGCAAGGCAGTTAGAGTCTTAGATTAGATTATATCTAAGATTTCTACAGCAAGGAGGTCATTACCTCCCCAGGAGTCCCAGTCTCTGATGGGAGCGAGAAATATCCAGTAATGTATCTGTGGTGCCCATTGCCATCCTCACCGGGTGATTTTGAAACTCAGCCTTTCTTGTTTCCCGTTGTTAAACTTTTCCCTTTTGTTAACATCTGGTTTCTCAATGCTTTAAGTTCTCTTGGAGCTACAGGGTCTGTACAAATAAAGGTGCCAATACCCCATCCAGTCTTGCCACTCTGAGACTCAAAGCCAAACAGCATCCAGCACACAAATCCCACAGTTAATTCATAACCAATTGGACACACACAAACAGAACATTTTTTTTCAACTCAGGCAGCCTGGAAGAAGCAAAAATAGGAATATTCTTTTTCATACGTGAATAGGGTCTTCAAGATACATTTATATTATTTTCAAGTCATATCTACTTCTTCCAGGTTCCAGTGATTTAAGGAGGGATAGTGGGATGGGGACAGGAAATATGCAACACATTCCTGCAGATAAATACTTTCTCTGGCCAGGTGCAGTGGTTCACACCTGCAATTCTATCACTTTGGGAAGACAAGGTGAGAGGATCACTTGAGCCCAGCAGTTAGAGACCAGCCTCTATAACATGGTGAGATCCCATCTTTACAAAAAATTTTAAAAATGTAATTGAGTATGTTGGCACATGCCTATAGTCCCATCTACTCAGGAGGTTGGCGTGGGAGGATCACTTGAGCCTGCGAGGTTGAGGCTGCAGCAAGCTGTGATCGAACCACTGTACTCCAGCTTGGGCAACAGAACCAGACCCCGGCTCAAAAAACAACAGAAAAATAAACACCAAAACAAAACAAAAACAAAAAACAACCTTCCTCTAAGTCTACGTTTTAAAAGGAGGAGGTCTTCTACAATGATCTCAGAAAAAGCATGTCTCTGTCTCTTTTTAGGGACAGGGTCTCACTCTGTAGCTAGGACTACAAACGTATGTCACCACACCAGGCTAATTTGTTTATTTTTAGTTTTTTTGTCAAGACAAGGTCGCACTCTGTTGCCCAGGCTGGTCTCAAACTCCTGGCATCAAGCTGTCCTTCCACTTTAGCTTCCCAGTGTTTGGGGATTAGAGGCGCGAGCCACTGTGTCTGGCTTCTAAACAGCATTTCTCTCAAAGCGCATTTCCAATTCCCTAAGACATGGATAAGAATTATTGTAATATAAGGAAATTAATTTATAAAAAGGCTTTAGAAATTAGCTGTCAGCAAATAACGTTTACCTGTCACAGATGGTCTTTGCAGAAGTTAGTTTTGGCTGAAAAGTTATGAATGTGATCTCAGGAGGGGTGCAGCAGCTTCAGCATTGTGCAGTAATCTAATAATTCTGGATATGCTATTGCTTTATAAAGTTGTTTCACATTGAAGAATATATGCCAAGGAGCTTTCACAAGAGTAATTTTTATGGTCAAATTAAGCAGGGAGAAGTTGAGCTATTTGAGGGGACAAGAAGCCTCTTTGATTAAAACTAGATTTCTATAACTTGGATCTTGTTTTAAATAGATGTCATCAGAACTTAGAGGTATAACTTGGAAGTGCCTAAGAATCAAAATTCTAAGCCATTATTTGGACTACAAGTACTTAGAAAAAAAGGGCAGAGAAAGAAGGGACTAGAAATAATTCTTTAGCTGAGAATACAAGGGTATCCCTTGAGATAGGTGTGAAAGGTGACTTCTTAAACAAAGAGAGAAGTTACTGTAAATATATACAAAATAGAAGAACAGTTTTGTTTGACTTTTTTTCAAAAGAACAGACATTTGCCCGAATTTTGATCATGGGGTGTTATATTTAAAATTGGGCATGTTCTGAGCATATATGGATGTACTGTTTTTCTACCCAATCATTTGGAGCTGGTAGCTCTAGGAATTGTTGAAAACCTGAAGGTAAAATATGACGCTTAAATAGAATCCTGACCAGATGCAGCAGCTCACGTCTATAATTTCAACACTTCGGGAAGCTGAGGCCAGAGGATCGCTTGAGGCCAAGCATTTGAGACCTTCCTGGGCAACATAGCAAGATACTGTTTCTACAAATTTTTTAAAAAATTTGTCCTGTAGTCCCAGCTACTTGGAAGGTTGAGGCAGGAGGATGGGTTGAGCTCAAGAGTTTGAGGCTGCAATGAACTATGATTATACCATTGCACTCCAGCCTGGGCAACACAGCAAGACCGTGTCTCTAAAAATAAATAAATAAATAAAAATTGAGTCCTTTACTGGATCTTCTAATTGGTAAATCCAACTTTGTCTAATTCAAGTTTCTGTAGCCCAGGGACTCCTATTGATGGAAGTAGGGGAGTTAGTACAAAGTGGTGCATAGATCCTGGAGCAGGGCTCTCAAACCTTGAGTGGAGGCTCTCTGGAGGCAGTAGATATCATAGCATAACCCTCATCACACACTCCTCTTCCTGAGAATGCTGCATGAAATTGGGAAAATACATCTGGGACTTTCCTAATGCTCCCTTCCAATTAGTCAAGGCAGTAGGGTGACCCGAAGAGAAGGAACCCTTTGCCTCAGACAGTTCCTTTTTCCTAGCAGGCACTTTCTCATGTTCCTTTGCAAGTGAGACGAATGTTCATGAGTCCTGCAGTAAAAGTATGGTGACCACAGGGAACTCCTGTCATTTCATGCCACTCTTCCAAGCAATGGGCCTTTCTCCTTCTGGGGCACATGCAATTGAAAGGAAGAGACCATGGCATTCTTTTTGAGCCGAAAGGGGCTTTCACAGCCATCCAGTGCACTCTCTTCATTTTACAGATGAGGAGACACAGGCCCGGAGGAGTGGAATGGTCTGCCCGAGATAGCATGCAGAGTTCATCCCAGAGAAGGCCAGCTTCTGTATGGCCATGGCCTCCCCTGGTGCCCACGATTGCCCAGCT